CAGTACCTGCAATACTCTAGTGAGATCACTTTAAACAAAAACTTGGTCAGCTTCATACCTCAACATCCAAAAAGGGATGGTTTGGATGAAGGCGCTTCGTAGTCACACGCCCATTCGACGTTTCATCACACATCTTTGTTACCTCCACGGCTTGGTCACCGTATGTATGCGCTAGATGGTATGCTATCTAAAAAGTCACCGTTAAGCGATTTTATCAAGGCTTTTTTTCACTACTTACATCCATGCTGAGACCGTAATCTTGCATTAAATGAATGTAAAGTAGAGGATCGTATTCATGCCCGCCCTCTAGTGTTAATCCAGCAGTAACGCATTTGGTATTCGGCTTCAGATGATGCACCTACGAGTAATTCCATTATGTGAACTATGTTTGGGTGATGCAGCTTACTTTTACGCATGTATCTACGGTCTCCTCTGCCATATGTCTATAAGTTGTCCATTTCCCTCCAGCGATTGTCACTAATCCGGAATTGGAGACCTTGAATGGCATTAGTAAAATAACATTATCCTTTTCAAATTAAACTTCGAATGACTTCAGAAAAGACATTCAACTTGTTCGGAGGTGATGGAAATACATCAGTGCTTTTGTTAACGTACACCACTTCGCAGTGCGAAGCCGAAGAGGGTTCTATCAACCTTACCTCAATTATATGATTTCTGGCCAAGCTTTTTGTATCTTTTTTGTTTGGATCTCGAACTAATGGACGCAAACCTGACCAAACACTGCTGACATCTTGGCGGCGAATGGGCAATGTTTTTGTAATGAACTTTTTCGCTTCCTTAAAAACTTCCTTGAATTTTTTGACCATCTTACCATTACTGACTTTTAGGATATAGTCGACTTCCGAAGAAGTAGGCACTGGTGATAATGTTATGTCTGCATGTTGGTCGGTTGTTCCGGCGAGAGTCATACCCTGCCACGGAAGCATAAAAAGCACTCGTCCATCGGAAGTGTCCGGATCAAGCATACCGGTCTTTGCAGGACTGAAAGGAGCATACGTATGAGGGTTCCAAAACTCAAATACACAACGGACCAAAAATATCCCGGCAAAATTATATGAGCTCCAGAACTAGGCACGCAAATCGGGTCCACTTCGGGATCAGCCATTTGTCGGATCTGGTCTGTCGAAGGTCCAGTGGCATTGACCACACATCTTGCTCTGATGAGCCATTTCTGTCCAGTGATCTGGCGAATAGGCACTCCTGACTCGACATTTCTTCTACCCTGACTTACTAAGTCTTTAACTTCTGCTCCACACACGTTTCCCTCTTCATTTTTCATCAATCTTTCAACTTTTACATGATTTACACACTGAAATGAGCATCATTATGACATTCCTCAACTTCTCAGTCAACTTACTTTAGCTCCACGCCTTATCGCT